TATATATATATACAGTATGTATATATATATATATATATATTTCCTATCTCATGGATCCCAGAACCTATGTACCGTATATAGTGTATAAGCACACCAGAAAAGTATATTCTGCAGAAGGGTGTTTTATATGAGAAAGCATTGATCAATGTCCACAAAAGGTATCAAATGTCAACATGAGCAATACACAATGTAGAAAACTGCTCAAATGGAGGACATAATAATATCAGCATATCCCAATACAGGAGTAGTAGATCAATAGTGTTTAACTTATATGCATGTGTACACAAACCAAAAATCTCTTAAAGAGGAACTATACCCATATCCTCAAAATAACAACAAATGCACCTTTACACATGTTTAGTAATGGCAATCTACAAACACATTTAGATAATTACAGATTTTTTATTCTTTGCATACCTTGTTTTTCTTTTCCTCCACATTCTTCTCACAGTGGCCACTTTTACTAAGGGCAGATTATTCCATCTCCCTTTACCTCCTGGAACTCTGGCACATGTGACTAGGACATGTAACCATGCACATCATCTCTGGAGAGGAAAATGCCTTTCCCTGAGATCTCATGAGATTACAGATTAGATTTCCTAGCAATGCTCTGCTGATGACCTTCCCAGGATGCAACACTTGGGCATGATTGCATCACTTTTGCCAAAGAGAACCAGGAAGTGGAAAACTAGTAATTGTGAGTAAAATGAAAATATGTTTGTTTAACTGATGAATGTAAGATAATTTCATATCAGCATGCAGAGATGTATTCTCATGGAATTTTTAGTCAAAGGGGGATAAAGGTCCACTTTAATATGCATTACCAATACCATGACAGGGAACCAGAGAAATAGGCAACATTTAGGGGGCAAAATACATCCCTTTTGTCAAGCCTGTTCCTATCAACTATGGATACAGTCCTGTATTGTGATATTCTCATATTATCATATCGACATTGTGTATTGCTTATGCTGACATTTGATATGCAGTATTATCCTTTTGTGGACATTGTTGAATGCTTTTAAAAGGTAACCATCTGCAGTATATTTTTTTTCTGGTGTGCTTTTTCAACCACTGTAAACTAGCAGCCAAGAATCCCTACTTTAAAGTACATCTAAATCCAAGTATTATACGAACAGACCGCACTATCCAGAGAATTCCAATACTTCAGACTGTATTGAAATTCACAGCAAATGCAGTGTAACAGTGGATAAAGGTGTATAAAACAGCAAATACCAGCACCGCAAGTCCCCAACCAGCTACAACCTCAGAGGTTGAATTCCAATACTTGAATTCCAATACTTCAGACTGTATTGAAATTCACAGCAAATGCAGTGTAACCATGTACTAATGCAGTGTAACAGTGTACTTGAATTCCAATACTTCAGACTGTATTGAAATTCACAGCAAATGCAGTGTAACAGTGGATAAAGGTGTATAAAACGGCAAATACCAGCACCGCAAGCCCCCTACCAGCTACAACCTCAAAGGTTGTAGCTGGTAGGGGGCTTGCGGTGCTGGTATTTGCTGTGTATTTGCTGGTATTTGTTGGTATTTGGAATGTAGTAGTATAAAAATAGGCCACACTATCCAGAGAATTCCAATACTTCAGAGGTTGCAGCTGGTTGGGGGCTTGCGGTGCTGGTATTTACCGTTTTATACACCTTTATCCACTGTTACACTGCATTTGCTGTGATTTTCAATACAGTTTGAAGTATTGGAATTCTCTGGATAGTGCGGTCTGTTTTTATACTACTACATTCCAAGGTGGAGATGCACCTATTAGACCAGCACCTGGGGAGTCCTGATGGCGGCTAAGGAACTGGAGTGGTGAGATTTCCTTTGGCTCTACATATCTAAAACCAAAACATTTTTTTAATAAACTATAAAATGATTAAAACCCCACTTAGGTTTTTTTTTTTTACCATCTATGCCTCATTGGAGAGATTTCCTTTTCCTTCCTGCACAGGACACACTATAGAAAGTAAAAGGAAACATCTCTGGAGTGAGGCAAATCCCCTCTTAGGCAGCAGTCACTGGAACAAGTATCCCTGTTGGAGTGATTCCCCTTTTGGAATAATTCCCCTTAATCTCTCTAAGGGGACACAGGCAGCAATAAAAACCTAACCAGTTGTCTAATCCCTCAGCACTCTATATAAAGCTAAACAAGTGTTGGCTTTAGATACACTTTTAGGAAAGGCTATGGCTTACAGTTGTTCTAATAATAAGTTGTTAGTGGTTTGCAAAGCAAAATTGATAGACAAGCTCTTTTGTTGGCATGGTCAACTCAATAGTATACTGTAGAGTAGATAGTAAACACTATTATAAGTATTGTGTTAAGGTGGAGTTAAATGCTGCCTTTGTGTTCATGTAGAATTGTAAAGAGACAATAACAATTTTTTGTCATCTAGAGTGCCTATAGTAAAGATGTGTAAAGGACAGTAATCCATCAGTCTAGAGTAGTCAGATCAGTTAAGTCATGACTTCTAAATGCCCTTTGTATTGCCTAATTAAATAAGGTCAACTGTGTCCTGTGCAAGACAACATCCAATAAAATCTAAAAGTAAGCCAATCATATGTTCCAATGTATGCTAATTATCATGTACATCTCAAGAGTTTCTTGTATACTATAACATACCCAGATTTCTGAAATCTTTTTTCTGTGTGTAACCAGACATACTTGATTTTCTGCACCCAAATACATCTAACCTGTCAAAATAAAAGAACATAAATATGAAAAAATAAAGCATAAACTTCTTTTTAATACTAGCACACGCACAGCATATACACAAATATATTTCCGTTGACTTAGACACACCCATTTAATCCTCTGTTGTCACCAATTATATGGTGTAAGTACATGCTGTTCTTAATGCTTATCAATTTATTTATTGACATTTTCCTACTTTGTGGCATGTTTATAAACTGGCAAATATTGAATTGCCAATCACTGGCAGTTTTTTCACCATTGGAAGTACATGTACCATTTGTTATATTTTATATTGCGCATTTAACTGGTTTGTCTGACTGAGCTATTCACTATTGTATGCCAGGATTTGGGTTTGCCAGTCTTATCTAGCTCTCAGATTTGTTAGAAAACCTTGCCCACTTGCTATTAGGCTTATTCAGTAAACCAATGCAAAGAGCTTTCTAAATGCAAAATGTAGTTGTAGTACTCCATCGCTATTAACAAGATTTCATATTACTGTGACATATAACATTCTTTTTGCTTCAGGTAAGTGTATTTAAGATGTTTAAAACATTATTAACCTCTTTCCTATAATGCTGTTCTCAAAAAGTGCTGCAACTGCTCTCAACCACAACTCTACTCTATAACGGCATAAGGCTCAAGCAGCTGCAGCATGCCCCCTCGGTGTTTTTTCTGGAACCACTGGCTGTTAGTGGTGTGTAATATGCAAATCTTGAATTGGATTCTGGGCTTCTGATACTACTACAAAAGCAATCTGTTGCACAATACATCATAGCACATCCGCATTGTCACTGTAAGGGTTAGTTCTCACCATAAGCAGTGCAATCTGGTCCGATTAAAGTGAATAGCACCGTAGCCACGCCCTCTGGCCGCAATGCGATTGCCCGCATGGGATCGCAAGGCACATTGTGCCTGCAGTGCGGTCCAGTGCAATCAAAATGCTGCAAGCACTATTTTGATTGTGATGCAGTGCATTCTGGACAGAATTGGGCCGGAACGCACTGCATCTGGTGTGAACGAACCCTTCAGATCTCCACAGATATTCCAGTTGTACTTGCTGTACTGGATGTGCTTCAGCAACATTTCCATGTTCTCGTAGGTTTCTTTCATGTGTGTTGCACATTGTGCCTGCAGTGCGGTCCGGTGTGGTGCGATCAAAATGCTGCAAGCTCTATTTTGATCGCACCGGACCGCACTGCAGGCACAATGTGCCTTGCGATCCCGTGCGGGCGATCACATTGCGGCCAGAGGGCGTGGCTACGGTGCCATTCACTTCAATGGCCCGCTACGCCTCCTCCTGCCCGGCAAAAAAGTGAGGCGGCCACAATGCGAGGCAGTGCGTTCCAGGCCAGAATCGTACCGGAACGCACTGCTTATGGTGTGAACTAACCCTAATAGTGATCTATTGCTTATCTGTGAAGGTTCTCATGTAGCCAAGTCATAGTATAGCTAGTGGTAGTTAGGCACATTCAATTAGACTTGTTCTGTAATAAGGAATATATTTAGTAGCTTATTTAAGCCATTTATTCAATTTGTGCAGCAAAAAAAAAAAAGGGCCCATGTTTCTCATTCAAAAGGGAAATGTATTATGAAAAAAAGGCACTATGAGCTGTAGATCTAAAAATTATTTCAGGGGTTTCCCTAGACCTAATATTTTTTGTAATATTTCTTCCATAGTCAAATGGTTGAGAAAGGCTACTTTAGCCTCCAAGTCACACCTGAGCATTTTGCTGTGTGTTTTTGTGGATTTCCCTAGGTGCAACAACACTCAACATTAGAAGTCTATTCTTTTCTATTGTGGCTGTTCACATCTCTACATGCTCAAAGCTCATAAGGCACATGGGCTTTTTTTGTAGCCGTGTCACACATAATTGGCCCGAATGACTTCAATGGAAACGGCTGTAAATGTACCACACAAGTGTGCATGTTTTGGCACCCGAAGAACTGTTTTCTACCTCTATAACTGTTTCCATTGACCAACACAAAAACACTTGAACCTTGATACACAAAGGGGTCTATTCACGAAGCTGCCGAAGGATGTGGCCGTAGCTTCGGCCGATCCTTCGGCTAGCTTCGGCTCCAGGACCCCTTCGGTTCACAATAGCCCGTACAGCTCCCGATCATGGCCGAGCGGCTCAGCCAATATGCAAAAATGCTTGCAAAAAGCTTGCCTTTAAAAGGGTGCATTTACTCATGTAAAAACATGCAAAAGCAGGCAAAAAAAGCTTCAAATTAACCAGATATTTGTTCTCCTCAGGTGTGAATGCAAGTTTAAGGTCTATATATAGGGGTTGTTATCTGGAGTGGCAAAGTTAGGTAAAACTAGCATAAGGAGAGAAATATTGGAAAAAGTTATATTTTCTATTTTTTCTAATGCCTTTTTTATTCGCCCTACAAAAATGAGAGATAAAAAAAAAATTGTGCCCTATAGGAAAACATGCTATGGTTAGTTAGTAAGATAAAAACGGTAAAAAAGGCGAGCGCACAACTGTTATGCAATGATACTATGTCCACCATTACTACGTTTGGCCCGTTTACCACATCCACACCGATCGCCCGAAGACACTGCTGAGCGATCCATACAGCCTTTCTCCTGATTTGCAAGACCTCATCTGGTCCACCCAAACAGTGAGTTTTCAGTCCAGTATTGTTTTTAAAGTTTTTAAAGTTGTTATCTATCCCCACAATATCCCAGGGTTGCAGCGCTTCTTTCCACCCTCCTTTTTACATATGGTTAGTTAGTAGTTAGTTAAACCAGATGATTTCTGGAGAGCAATCCCTTTTTTAAGCTTCATACTGCAGTCATTCATTCAGAAGTACAATGCTGGGAAAACATCCAAGACTTAGGTAAGACTGGGTAAACTGTGTTTGTGTTCCAGTTCACTTGAGATTCTGTTTGCTAGCTTGGCAAGAACTGTTACACTGGTTTATTTCTCACGTGGCAATGCAGTGAGAACACTAATTAAGACATTATGACTAATTAGAGCGAAAACACTCACTACATTATCAGCAATGGAAACTTACTATGTGACTCAGATATTTAGCTAGATAATGGCAGTTATGCAGACAGTGGCAGATCTATCAATATGACTAGCATGTCTCTTTGATTTCTCATTTTAAGCTGATAGAATGTTGCAGTGTTCATGATACAAAAATATTCGATCACCACAAAAGGAAGGACCTAATTTAGCCACACACTTAATTACTGGTGTGAAAGTTTACCTTCTTGCTTAGTGTTAATACCAAGCACCTGGGTACCTGTGTATGGAGAAGAAACCTCTGATTACAGAGATGCACATAAAGCTGTGTCTTTAACTACAAAATTAAAATTAGTTTATTGCCTTGGCTACACCGGGGAGGAAAAATTGAAAGCAAGCATCGAGATGGTACATTGTAGTCTCCATCCATATTCCACTGACCTCTATAAAACCCTGTTGCAACATAACAGCACAGCAAACAATCTGTACCTAGACTACCTAAAACAAACGGGCTGGAGACATTTTACCTAGGTGCTAACGAGCAGCAGTATCCTAACCTACAACACTTATCCCAAATCAATGGCAGAGCCAAGCCAACTATGTACTTTGTTAATACTCTAATCTTTTCAGGAATTTTGATGAAGGTACAAATGAAAATACATTTTCTTAACTCCAAGATTTTAGTCACTCGTGCGACAGGGAGATAAATACCATATTAAAAAAAAACACATTTGCTGGCCAGATTTCCTTGGACATTCCATTGGGTCTAATAGCTTTTGCTAACATCAGTTAATTTGCCACATTCATTTTGCACCCACAGTATGCCAAAAGTAATGCAATTTTAGGATAAATAAAAATGCGATCAACATCTGTAGGGAACTGAAGTCATTGTACTGAAGTTATGTTTTTATCCAGCGTCATGAAATTAAAACCTTTAAAAATGAAAAAAACAGGGACAGGGACCCCTTCTTCTTGGTACCAGCTTGGTACACCTGGTATGTAGACCTGTATGCCCATGTGCCTGACACCTATCTATAGGCTGAGAAGTCTGTAAATTAAGTTACATTTTTTTAAAGCTGAAATTTAGGCAGATAAAAAGGATTCAAATGAATGCAGATATGTACTCAATAATACATAATTAAATGTATTTTTAAATAAAAGTAGTACAGACACCTGAATTTGGCCTGGTATGAGTCTCTTTCAGCCTCTGTACAGCACTGAGTGATAGAGAGCTCATCCATCTGCTTCTTTCCTTTCACTGTCCAGTCACTGGCTGGAGGAGGGACAAGACTCATGCACTGCCAGACAGGCTATACATACATATAGATAATAGTAACTTAACTATACAAAATGTTCTCCAAATTTACTAAAAATAGCCCAATAAGCAGAAAAGTTCAAAAGTCCACAAAAAAAGTACATGAATATGAAATATCCTCCAATGCGCACTGTCACTCTGCACCATGTGGAACCCTGCACCTATGAAAACGTCACACACTAGATTCTAAGACCTCCAAATTGATGTGAATGATCCCCTCAGGTCGTATCAGCATTCACAGATCTCTTAATGTATTGTTATCAGACTTACAACTCAGTGATGTGACTTCTCTCAAAGTAGCCCTGCAATGGTAAAGGATCTCCAGGCAGATATCATATTATAGGGGATTATAATAAACAGTCACAGGCCCACTTTCACAACACTATTGCCACTGATTTTCTTCAAAATTACTTTACACTGTATTACATATCCACTGGGCTAATCAACTGCAAAGTAAATGCATTATAAGTAAAATAATGTCATTGTATATATATATATATATATATATGTATAGTTTTAAACACACAAAAAGGAAGGAAAATATTTTCCTATAAAGCCTAGATAGCAATTTTGCAATGAGCATTCCAGCCTATTTAATGTCCAAATGATAAAATGTCTCTTGCTCTATTTTTTACAGCTTTGTGGTTAAAGACTTGAATCACTTCTGACTTTTCGTATGCGTGTCAGGCTGTGTCTCCCAATAGGCCAGTGAGATGGCTGCTTTAGACAGCACCCAAAGGGGCATTGCTGGGGGCAGCACTGAGACTGAATTATCATTTGGACACTTTGTTGTCAGTGCAGCTCAGTAATGCTGAGCTTGGAAGGACTACAGGTTCAGCATTACTGAGCTCGCTGCCCGGCCCCTGCTCTTATCACCCAGGCAGATGCAGTGTCCTAGACTACTCAGTAACACTGAGCCTGATGAGCAGAGCTCTTGGCTGCTATGCAGTGAGCTCTGCTCATTGACTTTATGTTTGCTTTTTTATTACACTCAGCATCAGTAAGATTACTGCTGGAGGCATCTGTTTTTGCCATGTGGGGAGGAGGATGGGGCAGCAAAAATGTCCACCTCAGGTGGCAATAAACCTAGGTATGCTCTTGATGTTTGTTATGTATGACATAATGTACTCCTACTAAAAATGATTGATGCCATATGTACTTTATAGAGGTGGTGTACTATAGACAAATAAAAACAATACTTTTTATAATAATTACTTTCATTTCTGCGGTAATGACTGATTTGTTAACAATGCAGTTGCTATCCACGGCAGCACACTTTAGTGAATCTGTTTCAGAAATATAGGTCCACCGAACATTTTTTCTACAGCATTGTTTAAATTCATCCTGTGGGGGAAAAATAATATCAGCCACTCAAAAGTAGTAAAACAGAGTTATGGGGTTGGTTGATTCATTAATTAATATACAGAGTGAATCTTTATATAGTTTAGTGAACAAGGTGATGCAGAGTTTACTGCAAATATCTAACCATGTGCAATTTAAATTGAAAAAAGTGGGGTGTATTTATTCATTGATTCCGTAGATATATTTACCCAACATCTACTCATTTTTTATCAAGATTTGATTTTTCACATTCACTCTCTGTGTCACAGTGAATTTTATTTCCAAGGTAGGCTGTGCCCAACATAGCGACCAACATTTGCTAGGTGAAAAAAACATTAAATAACATTCTCTCAATATCTTTTTTAGCCTAGTATAGCCAAGTGCTGAACCAGCTGGAAGACCATGAGGCTGTGCCCAGATGGTTACTGTAGGTTGATGGGGTGCTGGCGCACTAGTTGTACTTAGTTGGTTGGTGTGTAGTTCAAGCAACATAAGGTTCCTGGGATACTCACTCTCCAAGATATCTGCAGGTATGTGCAGTCACCTCTGTGTACCTGCTTTTAATATTACATTACCATAATAAAAGGTTTAATTTTATTTTACCTTATTAATATGCATATCTGACACTATGAGCAAAGCACATATTTAAATAATGGTATTGTTATCCCTGTAGCATGTAGAACTATGAAGTCCACCTACTGGCTTGGAGCTCTTCAAGCTTCTTCCTGAGACTTCCAGCCTGCTCTTGTGACCCAAAGCACATGCATTGCAATTGAATAAGCCAAAACTGCCATTTCAATTTTTGATATTATGATAACTGATTAAAGGAAGCATGATTTTGTAGATGTGTAGATGTTTTGTAGCATAAGGCCACAGGGAACACAGTATATGTTCCTCCTTGGTTTTCAGCAAGAGATCCGCTGCTTTAAAAACTTGGCTCCTCCAGTATTCCCATCACTTTGCATTATTTCAGTCCATGAGCACCACTCTGCAGTGGGCTGGGAAGTCTAAAAACCTATAAACTATTTTGGGGGTAACTGCTTTAATCCACATGCTACAACATAATGCTCTGGAACCAGCATCATGCCAGTCAGCAGTAAAGAAGCCATATTTTTTTAATAATTGTTAAGTCACTTTACACTTGAAAGAAGCCACAAAAGTAAGTGTCCTAAGATCTATGACTTCCCATATTATTTACTCAGTATCACTCTGATTAACTATTATAAGACACAATACACTCTCAAACTACTTACAGTCGCTCTAAGAAACACAACATCAGCCTCTTCCAGAGTGCAGGGTATACAACAAGCCCAGACATTCCAGTCAGGTTTCCAGTAAAATAGAAGCCAAAGTATTCCTAGAGTAAACACTTGCCCAGCAATACATAGTACTTTTTTCCACTTCACTGTTCTGTACCCAAATATTTCCTGTAAAAAAAAATAATAGCAGTTTAGTTCTGTATAAATATTGTATAGATGAACATAGTCTTTATTAATCAGTGGTGCTTCAAACAATCATTACTAGTAAATGCCTATATACAGTAAAATACTGTATGTAAGTGATCCATCTGAAAAGAACACAGCTAAAGCTCTGTTAAACAGAAAGCCTATTGGTTGTACTAGCAATTAATTTTACATGTTACTAATATCATGACAGCAAAACAAAAAATCACCAAGGCTTTGAACAAAACTTTGATTCCATTTGAGGAACTCAAGGTCCAGGTGAACCTTTACATGGTGTATGATGGGGGGGGGGGGGGGGGTATCCTCAATATATGCTGCTCTACTTGGGCCATTTACGAAGTTAACATATATATGGCTGCATGGGAATCCGACCTAGGGGTTGTCCTTTCGTTGGATGAATGGCAACAGTGCGTCTCAAGGCTGAGGATGGGAATCCCCAATGTCTCCCTAGCGGAGGCTAATTATAAAGTTTTCTCGAGATGGTACCAGGTTCCAGTTAGATTGGCACTCATGTTCCCTGGCACGAGCCCCTTATGCTTTAGAGGATGTAATCAGCAGGGTTCTATGATCCACATTTGGTGGCAGTGCCCAAAACTGGTTGGCTTCTGGAATAGGTTTTTTGCCCTGATCTCTGAGATCCTCCAGCTCCATATTCCAGGCTGAAATCAGCCGTACATTGGCTTGCTTCGTGTGGCTTCGGATCAGCCGAACATGCTCAGCATGTTCGGCTGACCGGAAGTGCAGAAGGAGTTCGACTCAGCCGATCCAACATCTGGATCGGCTGAGCCGAACCTCCGGCAGGCTTCACACTGCTGTTCGGGCTATTCTGAAAGATCCCGAACAGCAGTGAGAGAATAGCCGAATGCCGCCGAGCGGCATTTGGCTCGGCTGTTCTGCACATGTTTATTTAAAGTTAATGTTTATTTAAAGTTAAACAAGTAAAACTTTAACTTTCAAATACAACATGGTTTAGCCTTTACCAGTGAGTGAGAAAATGTCATACTGGATTACTGTAACTTTCAGCTGGTACTGGTTTGTACCTAGAGCTACATCTACATGCATTATAAAATGTGTGACACAAATGTTCAACACCTTGTTTAAAATGCAATAAGAATGATGAAACCAAAAATATTATATGTAAAATAGAATAAATAATTCTGGCTAGCAGCAACACAGGTCTGTGGTTGCTTATGTGGGCAATGTAGATCTGTAATTACGTACGCCTCCATCTGGTGGTTGCTACTATGCACTTATTCCACACTGCAGCTAACACATGAACTTCAATAAATACCTACAGTATATAGGGATCTCAAAACTTCCTGGATTATGACCTTACCCTTTACTTTGGATAACACTTCTGTTTGCCTTGACCCCTAGCTTGTCTGACCAAGACTTTGTTTGCCACCTACATCGACCCCTTTCCTATTTGACCACAATTCTGCCTCTCCAATTGGTAATACACTTGTTTGTATGCTGTTTCTCTGCCTGTCTTAACACTTGCATGGCTCTAGCACTGACTCCATGGGTTTGATTTACTAAAGACTTAGATAATTAACTTAACCCAGTAAACAGTTGTTCACTTTAAAAAGGCAAATGCACAGGGCAAATGAAAATATAGGACTTTTACTTGCACATGATTGAATGATTGCCATGAACACAGTTCCACTAGGTTAGGTGATTATTCTACTCCTTAAGTAAATCAACCCCAATGTGTTGTTGGATGTCACCTCTAGCTCAGGGTATTTTTTTTATTTTTTATTTTGTCTTTTTATTGTGCTTGTCACACCTACCCTGCCAAGTTGATTGCCAGTGACTCTGGCCTTGTACGGCACGTAAACTTGACAACTGTCACACGACACAAGAGAAAAAATATTTGAAATGTGTTCAGTAAAGCTCAACAAAAAAAAATTGTATGTACAGTTTCTGATATTAAAAGGCAAAAAAAGTTAGTTGCTAGAGACTTAACTGAAATGGGAGCTTCTCTAAACATGCAGGTACCACCCACAGACCTGGAATCTTGCCAAGGTACTTATTTTTACTTAAGGTATCCTGACAGTCATATAGCCACTGAAGATCTGGAACCCATTACAGACAGGGGTGACCCCTACCTGTTATGGACCCCAATACCCCAGAGGCCCTTGTTCACATGCATGGGCTGCACAGTTGATATTTTTATCAATGTGTCAACTGTTTTGTTGCTGTCCATCACTTCTTCAAGTTTTCAAAACCCTGTGAGTACCCCTTTGACTCTTCTGACAGCCTATCATGATACTGGTTATAGGATCCTTCCACACTGCAATTTAGATAAAAGAAGAATTTGGCCATGGCTTGGCATGTGACCACAATTTAAGGTAAGGGCTTGTAGTTTATTTATTTAATATAATCTAGTGATTAGCAAGAGGTTGGTATATGGGGTGTAAAAGGTAGTAATGAAATTGTTATCCCAGAGAAGATGTTTAAACTAAAAGCAGATGTCTGTGCATAGCATTAAATGGATGCTTATGTGCTGCTATGCACATTTAAATCCCCAGAGAAAAGTCGGACTCTAACCTACCCCTCTTACTTCCCACACCTTAATACTGTTACCAAAGTGATGGACAGCCTCATTGACTAATAACATTAAACTCATGGTTTAATGTTATTAGTCAATGAGGCTGTCCATCACTTTGGTAGCAGTAATAAGGTGTGGGATTGAGCATAACTCAATCAAATATTTGCATAATGGAGTGTACGGGGCTCTCTGAGTATGCCTGTGGTATCTGATAATATGGTACAGACACCTGGCAAGAGTTTAATAGGCTTAAAGGGAATATGGGCTTTGCCCATGCAAAGTAACAGGTTCACTTTACCAAAGTAAAATTTACACAGAGCTTAGGGCTCTCACTGACCCCGTCTTACATCACTTGGCCAATCACCAAGCAACATCACTTTTTTGGTGGTTAATTGCTAACTCTTGTTAATACAACCGGTTTCTCCCCTGCTACAGTTTCTTGCTTAACTCTAACCTAAAAGTCAGAAGCAAACATTATCACCCGCTATGGTAACCCTAAATAACCTGATCATTCCCAAGTGTCATATTTTAGATCAAAATAAACAAATCAGTATGATAATAATAATAATAATAATAACAATAAAAATGTTTCATAGTTCTTAAAATCATGTTGCTGAACTGTAGAGTATGACAATTGTACTATAAACATTTCTGGTTCTGATTCTGCATTCCAGGTCAAAAAATTAGATAGGGCTTCTGATTGGACATTACAGACAACAAGAAACATTTCTCTTAATAGACTTTCATGCATTAATGTTTGTGTTGAAAAAAAAAAACCTCCTAAATCAACCTGTGATCACTATCTTCTAAGTTGGCATGCAAACAACATATTAGAGCAAAAGGAAAATAATACTACATAGGATACAATAATCATAAGACAATGTATACAGTTTTATCCCTCCTCCCCAAACTTTCCCAAGATAAGATCTCAATTTATCCAATTATACATACAGTCCTGATTTAAATAACTCTTTGATTAAAATGTATGTTTAGCATTGATCCTTTCTATCCCAAGCAACACTGTACAGGGCTGAGACTATGATGCATTAAACAAATTACATAGATAGATTTTTTTAGTTACCATTTCATTCTCCTCGCCTTCATTAAGCAGTGCCCTGTAGCCATTCTGTACATGTGTCCCCATAGTTCTGTAAGGTATCTCGCAGTGCCCTCACAGATGTCCTCTCTCACCTGCAGAGCCACACTAAACTCACTCTCGTGTATTTTAAACTCGCCCAAAGCCTCTGATTACACACCTTTTCAGGGAATGATTACAAACTATGGGGTGGTTCTTGAAAATAAGGCTTGCATAATGTGTCATTAAATAAGATTAAATGTATATCCACTGTTGAACAGTGCATTTTGTCCTAAGACATATATTTACTTTTATTTGTCTTATTTACTGCTAGTGCACACATGCTGATAAGATCACCAGTAAACAATCAGTGTTTGAGGATGTAGCCTTTTCTTTCTCATCTAATAAAACCTGTTAACACTTCACTACAAAGGACAATTTTCTAATACATGTTCGTTACCTAATGTCTGAGGCCAGAAAAAAAAGAGGCTGGTCAGACTGTTTAGACTTTTTGATGTTCTTTCAATCTTACTACCTATTCAGACCACTTAAGGCCACCTGCTTTTCGGGTTACTTGTAGTGCAAGTTAATATAAGCCTAGATCAGTTTAAAGTGGAAGTAAAGCTTCCAAAAAAAGTCGCTTCTGCATTTTTTTTACTATGTGCTTCCAATTTTGATATCCCTTGGAGAGATTCGTACCTCAAATTGGCTATACACGGAGACTTATTTACCGCTAGGAGACTGGTGGCAATGGATATCCACCATCCCTCCCTCATTATCCGAATGGATCTCTGAGTTAGATAAAATTGTAATGTGTGAACGCATTACCTATAAATATAGAGGGATTGGTGAAGATACATTTTTTTACTCTGGTCCAGATGGCTACACTATCGTACACATTAAGGGCACTCTAGGGGGTCTATTCACTAAGCTGCTGCAGGCAGCCAAGTGACTCACCGACCCCAAGCGAAGTGAGCCGAACCCTGTTTGGCTATTCACTTCAGGCAGGTACGACTGATTCCAGCCGTATATCGGCTGAAATCAGCCGTACATCGGGTGGCTTTGTGTGGCTTCAGGTCGGCCGAACATGCTCCGCCCTCATGCTCCGACCCGAAGTGCAGAAGGAGTTCGACTCAGCCGATCCAACATCTGGATCGGCTAAGCCGAACCTCTGGCAGGCTACTCACTGCTGTGGGACTGAGCAGAACAGAAATAGTTTAAAAAGTAGAAGAAAAAAGAAAACGATTGTGCGGAGCTAGCAGTGACAGCTAGCTCCGCCCAACTGTTTTCTATTGGCTGGGCCGGTTCTGCTGCCATAAAAAAAAAAAGGAATTCCCATAGGAAAGCATAGCTAGATACCTATTGGCTATTTCACTTTGCAATAGCCAATAGTAAACTAGCTATTGCACCCGCCCTCTGCTGCTGTCAATCACCATACAGGGACCTAATGGAGAACTGCAGGTCCTCCTCTGCTGATTGACAGCAGCAGTGGGCAGATGCAATAGCTAGTTTGCTATTGGCTATTGCAAATTAAAATAGCCAATAGGAATCTAGCTATGCTTTCCTATGGGGATTTTTTTTCTGGCTGCCGTCAGAAAGAAAAAAAAAGAAAAAACCGAGCAGGCAAAGGTTTACTATGCTCGATCGAGCAGAGTGAACCTTTCTGTGAGAAAGTGTTTCTCTCCCGGGCGGCCGGGAGCCTATTAGACTCCTAGAGCGTCCGGGGGAGGAATGACAGATGTGTTCCTGGTTACCAGGTAACCAGAAATGACATCTGTCATTACACACTGAGAATATGGAGGAATGACAGCGTCCCTGGTTAGCTGGTAACCAGGGATGCTGATCTCTCTGCAAGTGGCCGGAGCCAGCCGTGAGATGATGGCTGGCTCCGCCCAGCTGTCAGAAGCAGGCTGTCGGCCGGCCATTTGGCCAGCTTCGGCTTTCAGCGCAGCTCAGTCGAGCCGAGGCATATGCCTTCGGCTCGGCTGAGCCGCTCGGCCATGATCGGGAGCTGTATGGGCTATTGTGAATAGCCCGTACAGCACCCCTTCGGTTCTACTGAACCGAAGGGGTCCTGGTGCCAGAGCTAGCCGAAGGTTCAGCCGAAGCTAAGGCTAGATCCTTCGGCGACTTTGTGAATAGACCCCTAGAATTTCTTCATGGTTTTTTTTTATTATTAATATTTACACATATGAGGGTCGTATATATGAGCTCAAGATATAAGTTGACTAATCCATTTCCAAGTTTCTGTTTCTGTTTTAATTACATCAGCGATGTAAATGTGTATATGAGCCTAGGTGATTTGACCTAAATTAGTTAGCTCCTTTTATCGATATGTGCATATGATGGATGTACAGTTTCTTATTTTTGTGTTATTGCTTTTGGTTGTTTCTTATTTATTTGTATTATGTTTGTTGTTATATATTTTTCTTATATATTGTCTGTTTAACTACCTCCCGGCCGGCCGGGAGCTCTCTAGATCTGAGCGGGCGTCTTTAGACGTCCACTCAGCCACGCCCACTCGCGTTGCTGACAATTTAAAAACAGGCACCGATGCCTGTTAACATACATGCGATCCGCCAGCTATAGAGCCGGCCGATCGCTTGTTTGAGCTGCCGGCCCGTGCCCCCCCCTCCCTCCGCTGCCCCCCCTCCTGTTGTCACGCTGGTCCCGGGCTCTGCTGTGACCAGCTTAGTGCCTCTGTCACAGGGGATCAGAGGGAGATCGGTAAACAATCTCCCTTGGTCACCTCTCCGATGACAGTATAATACATCACTTCCCGCAATCTTGTGTCACTCTCCAGCTTCAGACGCTGGAAAGAAGCTGATGGAGCAGATCTCTGCTTCATCAGCTTCTTCGGGGGGTCCTAGGTGAAAGGTCTTGGAGACCCTTGATGTCTTCATAAAGAGGACCTGTCACATCTTTTGCTATCACATGGGGGGTTTCTTAGCCCCCTATGTGAGAGCAATAAAGTTAAGTAAAAAAAAATAGGAAAAATAATTAAAGTTTCCCAAAAAAAATTAAAGTTACACATACAAAAGAATAAAAAAAAATGTTTTAAAAAAAGTCGCCACACATACATACACGCATGCAAACATGCGTCGGGTGCGCATACCTGCGAAAATAGCGATTGCGCTCATTAGGCTGCACATGTTACATATTGCCGCGAACGTCGCAGTGAGAGCAATAATTCTACGGCCATCAATCACTGATAACACTAAACTGATGAGCGGTAAAAGCTTTTAAAGTGTCGCCTATAATTTTGAGTATGGTAGTTTTTTGCCATTTCGCGGGTGCACGCAATTTTTAAGCTTGACATGTTTGATGTCTATTAACCCGACGTGACCCCATCTTTTTCCATGCTTCCGTGGATCAGACAAGCGTTTGCGGTGTTTATGGGCTAGAGGAGGCTGCTGAATTTAGGTTTTATATTTAGTTTTGCCCTGGCCGTGCGGGAGCTCCGCACTCTGCGTCCGCTACATCAGGCGCCGGAAACGGAAGTCCCATCTTTTTTATTTTGCAAAAAAAACGGGGTAATAATAATTGTTTCCTAACATAATGGAAAAAAAACTATTTTTTTCAAAATTTTCAGTAAATTTTCTGAAATATAGTAAAAAAAACCCCAGTGGTGATTAAATACCACCAAAAGAAAGCTCTATCTGTCCCCAAAAAGTGGTATAACATTCATTTCAGTACAGCGTTGCATGATGGAATAAATGTCAGTCAAAGTACCGCAGTGCTGAATACTGAAAAATGGCCTGGCCAGGAAGGGGGGTCTAAACACCTGGTCTTCAAGCGGTTAAAGAAAAATTTAATAAAAATTATCTGATAATAATAAAAAAAAAATCCCTCTCCTGCTTCTACAGCATCACTCCCCACTGGTCAGACCAGTAAAGCATCACTTCACCCCTGCTCACTTGTTGGCAAGTGAGATTCTTCCATATTTTGGGCAATGAGGGAGTGATGCCGTAGAAGCAGATGAATGCTCAATTTAGCAATCTTGCTGATGAGTTTTCACCAACAGTATCAAAGTTGATTTGAGTTGCTTTAAAGACCCATTTGGGTATAGAGAAAAAAAAAAAGTAATTTTCTTTTAAAAATTATAGTCGGGCACAAAATGCTCTCATCCATACTACCTGCTGATACCCCTATCATACGAAAAGTAAATGTTTCCCTTTTACACAAAGTTCCCCTTTGTGCATTGAAAATTCCAGAACAGTGATATAAGACTGAACTCCTGACTTTTTTTAATGTTTGCAATATATCCATTTCTGTGTTAAAACAAATTTCTCTCAATTCCCTGTAAATGTATATCTCTGTAATATAACCTTTGCAGGTGCAGCAGCTATCTCGAGCCCACCTTCCTTTTGCAACCTCCATTATTCAGCAATCAGTTCTCCCCCTGATCTATACTGTAATTGGCCTCCCTCTCACAGCTATTAGCTTTCTTTGTCATGATTTTGTTCACGAGCTTTATGTGAAATAACACATCCCGGCATCTTGTAGATATTGCTGCAACCAGTCAACCAGTCAGCAGAGTGCACAGAGAAAGTCTGCAGCACCCAGTTGTCAGCACGGAGATGCAGGAACATCTAAAGGGATCCCAAGGAGTACTTTCATATAATTATTTTGAAAAAGATCTGAACTAGAACTATGTGACAGGAGTCTGCCACCCCCTTCCACCAAACTCAGAGCAAAGAGCAGCAGACAGACCCAGTAATGGCATAATTGGGTCTCAAAAATAGGTATATCTTGAAAAATAAAATGGTATTATACGTGCACACTACACTTCAGCTTTAAATAAGGCATGTTTTGCAATATTTCTTTAATAGTGTTATGTACCCTTGTTTTGAAAGTAAGTTGCATTTAAAAAAATAGTTCAAAATGTAATATATAACAAATTGGCAATTTCACTTTGCAATAGCCAATAGTAAACTAGCTATTGCACCCGCCCTCTGCTGCTGTCAATCACCATACAGGGACCTAATGGAGAACTGCAGGTCCTCCTCTGCTGATTGACAGCAGCAGTGGGCAGATGCAATAGCTAGTTTGCTATTGGCTATTGCAAATTAAAATAGCCAATAGGAATCTAGCTATGCTTTCCTATGGGGATTTTTTTTCTGGCTGCCGTCAGAAAGAAAAAAAAAGAAAAAACCGAGCAGGCAAAGGTTTACTATGCTCGATCGAGCAGAGTGAACCTTTCTGTGAGAAAGTGTTTCTCTCCCGGGCGGCCGGGAGCCTATTAGACTCCTAGAGCGTCCGGGGGAGGAATGACAGATGTGTTCCTGGTTACCAGGTAACCAGAAATGACATCTGTCATTACACACTGAGAATATGGAGGAATGACAGCGTCCCTGGTTAGCTGGTAACCAGGGATGCTGATCTCTCTGCAAGTGGCCGGAGCCAGCCGTGAGATGATGGCTGGCTCCGCCCAGCTGTCAGAAGCAGGCTGTCGGCCGGCCATTTGGCCAGCTTCGGCTTTCAGCGCAGCTCAGTCGAGCCGAGGCATATGCCTTCGGCTCGGCTGAGCCGCTCGGCCATGATCGGGAGCTGTATGGGCTATTGTGAATAGCCCGTACAGCACCCCTTCGGTTCTACTGAACCGAAGGGGTCCTGGTGCCAGAGCTAGCCGAAGGTTCAGCCGAAGCTAAGGCTAGATCCTTCGGCGACTTTGTGAATAGACCCCTAGAATTTCTTCATGGTTTTTTTTTATTATTAATATTTACACATATGAGGGTCGTATATATGAGCTCAAGATATAAGTTGACTAATCCATTTCCAAGTTTCTGTTTCTGTTTTAATTACATCAGCGATGTAAATGTGTATATGAGCCTAGGTGATTTGACCTAAATTAGTTAGCTCCTTTTATCGATATGTGCATATGATGGATGTACAGTTTCTTATTTTTGTGTTATTGCTTTTGGTTGTTTCTTATTTATTTGTATTATGTTTGTTGTTATATATTTTTCTTATATATTGTCTGTTTAACTACCTCCCGGCCGGCCGGGAGCTCTCTAGATCTGAGCGGGCGTCTTTAGACGTCCACTCAGCCACGCCCACTCGCGTTGCTGACAATTTAAAAACAGGCACCGATGCCTGTTAACATACATGCGATCCGCCAGCTATAGAGCCGGCCGATCGCTTGTTTGAGCTGCCGGCCCGTGCCCCCCCCTCCCTCCGCTGCCCCCCCTCCTGTTGTCACGCTGGTCCCGGGCTCTGCTGTGACCAGCTTAGTGCCTCTGTCACAGGGGATCAGAGGGAGATCGGTAAACAATCTCCCTTGGTCACCTCTCCGATGACAGTATAATACATCACTTCCCGCAATCTTGTGTCACTCTCCAGCTTCAGACGCTGGAAAGAAGCTGATGGAGCAGATCTCTGCTTCATCAGCTTCTTCGGGGGGTCCTAGGTGAAAGGTCTTGGAGACCCTTGATGTCTTCATAAAGAGGACCTGTCACATCTTTTGCTATCACATGGGGGGTTTCTTAGCCCCCTATGTGAGAGCAATAAAGTTAAGTAAAAAAAAATAGGAAAAATAATTAAAGTTTCCCAAAAAAAATTAAAGTTACACATACAAAAGAATAAAAAAAAATGTTTTAAAAAAAGTCGCCACACATACATACACGCATGCAAACATGCGTCGGGTGCGCATACCTGCGAAAATAGCGATTGCGCTCATTAGGCTGCACATGTTACATATTGCCGCGAACGTCGCAGTGAGAGCAATAATTCTACGGCCATCAATCACTGATAACACTAAACTGATGAGCGGTAAAAGCTTTTAAAGTGTCGCCTATAATTTTGAGTATGGTAGTTTTTTGCCATTTCGCGGGTGCACGCAATTTTTAAGCTTGACATGTTTGATGTCTATTAACCCGACGTGACCCCATCTTTTTCCATGCTTCCGTGGATCAGACAAGCGTTTGCGGTGTTTATGGGCTAGAGGAGGCTGCTGAATTTAGGTTTTATATTTAGTTTTGCCCTGGCCGTGCGGGAGCTCCGCACTCTGCGTCCGCTACATCAGGCGCCGGAAACGGAAGTCCCATCTTTTTTATTTTGCAAAAAAAACGGGGTAATAATAATTGTTTCCTAACATAATGGAAAAAAAACTATTTTTTTCAAAATTTTCAGTAAATTTTCTGAAATATAGTAAAAAAAACCCCAGTGGTGATTAAATACCACCAAAAGAAAGCTCTATCTGTCCCCAAAAAGTGGTATAACATTCATTTCAGTACAGCGTTGCATGATGGAATAAATGTCAGTCAAAGTACCGCAGTGCTGAATACTGAAAAATGGCCTGGCCAGGAAGGGGGGTCTAAACACCTGGTCTTCAAGCGGTTAAAGAAAAATTTAATAAAAATTATCTGATAATAATAAAAAAAAAATCCCTCTCCTGCTTCTACAGCATCACTCCCCACTGGTCAGACCAGTAAAGCATCACTTCACCCCTGCTCACTTGTTGGCAAGTGAGATTCTTCCATATTTTGGGCAATGAGGGAGTGATGCCGTAGAAGCAGATGAATGCTCAATTTAGCAATCTTGCTGATGAGTTTTCACCAACAGTATCAAAGTTGATTTGAGTTGCTTTAAAGACCCATTTGGGTATAGAGAAAAAAAAAAAGTAATTTTCTTTTAAAAATTATAGTCGGGCACAAAATGCTCTCATCCATACTACCTGCTGATACCCCTATCATACGAAAAGTAAATGTTTCCCTTTTACACAAAGTTCCCCTTTGTGCATTGAAAATTCCAGAACAGTGATATAAGACTGAACTCCTGACTTTTTTTAATGTTTGCAATATATCCATTTCTGTGTTAAAACAAATTTCTCTCAATTCCCTGTAAATGTATATCTCTGTAATATAACCTTTGCAGGTGCAGCAGCTATCTCGAGCCCACCTTCCTTTTGCAACCTCCATTATTCAGCAATCAGTTCTCCCCCTGATCTATACTGTAATTGGCCTCCCTCTCACAGCTATTAGCTTTCTTTGTCATGATTTTGTTCACGAGCTTTATGTGAAATAACACATCCCGGCATCTTGTAGATATTGCTGCAACCAGTCAACCAGTCAGCAGAGTGCACAGAGAAAGTCTGCAGCACCCAGTTGTCAGCACGGAGATGCAGGAACATCTAAAGGGATCCCAAGGAGTACTTTCATATAATTATTTTGAAAAAGATCTGAACTAGAACTATGTGACAGGAGTCTGCCACCCCCTTCCACCAAACTCAGAGCAAAGAGCAGCAGACAGACCCAGTAATGGCATAATTGGGTCTCAAAAATAGGTATATCTTGAAAAATAAAATGGTATTATACGTGCACACTACACTTCAGCTTTAAATAAGGCATGTTTTGCAATATTTCTTTAATAGTGTTATGTACCCTTGTTTTGAAAGTAAGTTGCATTTAAAAAAATAGTTCAAAATGTAATATATAACATCAAACAATATATTTTCATTGGCTGTAAAAAAATTAACACACAATTTAAATGTATATTGAAAAAAAGTCACTTTATTACATATCAGTATAAAAACAACAATACAAACAATATATCTGTGCTTTATATAACTAATTCTTCTTTGTCCTGTTCAAAAAAGAAATATAATATGTTACAATTTCTATTTAAACTATTTGGAGGTATGCAATGGTGAGCATTTACTTACTAAAAGCTCAGATCACAGAACAGTGGGGTCTATTCACGAAGCTGCCGAAGGATCTGGCCGTAGCTTTGGCCGATCCTTCGGCTAGCTTCGGCCCCAGGACCCCTTCGGCTCAGTAGAACCGAAGGGGTGCTGTACGGGCTATTCACAATAGCCCGTACAGCTCCCGAACATGGCCGAGCGGCTCAGTCGAGCCGAACGCATATGCATCGGCTTGGCTGAGCTGTGTTGAAAGCCAAAGCTAGCCTAGCGGCCGGCCATTGCCCGGCCGACAGCCTGCTTCTGACAGCTGGGCGGAGCCAGCCGTGATCTTACGGCTGGCTCAGGCCCCCTGCAGAGCGATCAGCGTCCCTGGTTACCTGCTAACCAGGGACACTGATCTCCAAACAGCTAACTCTCCCTGGCGCCCCGGGAGTCTCCTGCTCCTGGCTGCCAAGGAGAGAAACACTGCTGTGTTTTTTTTTCTTTATTCTGACACGAGCGATGTCAGAATAGAAAAAAAAATGTCCTATTGAAAAGCATTGGTACATTACTATTGACTATTGACTATTTCAATTTGCAATAGCCAATAGTAAACTAGCATTGTACCCGCCCTCTGCTGCAGTTCTCCATCAGGTCCATCAGCAAATAGTAATGTACCAATGCTTTTCAATGGGAAATTATTATTTTTTTTTCTATTCTGACATCGCTCGTGTCAGAATAAAGAAAAAAAAGACACAGCAGTGTTTCTCTACTGGGCGGCCGGGAGCGGGAGGCTCCCAGAGCGCCCGGGAGAGTTTTTTTTTGACAGCAGCAGAGCTGCCAGACAATAGGAAACTATTGGGCGGAGCTAGCTGTCACTGCTAGCTCCGCACAATCATTTTCTATTTACTTTTTTTACCTTTTTTAACTCTTTTTCTGTTCTGCTCAGTACCTCTGAGGGACCGAGCAGAACAGCCGAGCCGAATGCCGCTCAGCGGCATTCGGCTATTCACTCACTGCTGTTCGGCATCTTTAAGAATAGGCCGAACAGCAGTGAGTAGCCTGCCGGAGGTTCGGCTCAGCCGATCCAGATTTTGGAACGGCTGAGTCGAACTCCTTCTGCACTTTGGGTCGGCCAAACATGCTGAGCATATTCGGCCGACCCGAAGCCACATGAAGCAAGCTGATGTGAATAGCCGAACAGCGTTCGGCATACTTCACTTCAGGTCGGTCATTCACTCGGCTGCCTACGGCAGCTTAGTGAATAGACCCCAGTGTATTTTTTTGTGCTGAAATGTTACATTATTACCAAGGTTTGTAAATTTAAATGATTCAGTTTCTGTTTCCTATGGGAAGTCCACTGAGTAAGTACTGTAGAGAACAACATTAAATATATTGCCACAATATGCTGCTAACTTGACGAGCTATTCTCTTTTCTACTTGAATTCATTGCTTTCAAATACTGGATTGTTATACACTTGTGCTTTGTCATCTGAATGTCTGATAACTGGTTTTGTCCGGTAGGTCTGGTTGATTGGAGGCCAGTCGTGGTCCATTTCCACTGCTCTGATAGTTTTTCTGTACTGACTCTTCGATTTGTATTTGAGGAATGTTTTCATTAGCAGCCAAAGTTTTCTGTTCTCTACAATAAATTCCTACGGGAAGTGCATTGAAAATAATTATTAAATGTATTGACTACCACTAATAAATACACAAATAATAATGAAACCATACATAATCATCTGATTTGTCTGGGTAATATTTAACCACTTCAAGACCAGGTGTTTAGACCCCCTTCTTGGCTAGGCCATTTTTCAGTATTTAGCGCTGCGATACTTTGACTGACGTTTATTCCGTCATGCAACGCTGTACTGAAATGAATTTTATACCATTTTTTGGGGACAGATAGAGCTTTCTTTTGGTGGTATTTAATCACCACTGGGGTTTTATTTTTTACTATAATTAGGAAAAGTTACTGAAAATTTTGAAAAAAATACGTTTTTTTTAACATTATTGTAGGAAACATTTATTATTACCCAGTTTTTGGTAAAATATAAAAGTCGGTTAAATAGACACCAAACATGTCAAGCTTTAAAATTGCGCGCACCCGCGACATCGCAGAAAACTACCATACCCAAAATTGGCCATAGGCCAATTGATGAGCTTCTGCAGCATTTTGCAACCCAACCACTTCAAGTCTACAGTTTACACAGGGATCTCAAGTCTCCCTGATGTTCAGGGAGTCTCCCTCAATTAGACAGTGGCTCCCTGACGTCCGCGAGAGAGGCATTTTCTCCCTGAAAGGTTTACTCTGAGTAAACCTTTTCGCTTGGCTCTGTCTCAGAAGGAAGAAGCTACTTGCTGCACATGACAATTAGACTCAGAGAAATCACGCTTTGACACCTTGTAATTAGTTTCCCAACTACTAGCAAGCTGGAGAATATCAATGGCCACAAGCAATTCAACACAGATTATGAAGCTTAGGAAATACAGTTTGAGGCATACATAGTTTACATGTTTATAAAGTCTATACAAGTGGTTAACATTGGACATAGGCTGATTACTGCTGCCATGAATATTATATGAGGTATGGCACTAATACCTCCTGTCAGAAAGGGTGTGACATACCACAGAGTTAGCAGATCACATTATTACAAACCACTGTGTTCAGGGTACACATATTTCTTGTTATGCCACTTCTCTTCATGGTTGGCAGTATTACTTTAAGGTTATCTAAGGTAATGGTTCTTAATGAAACTAAAACAAACAGCAATATGTCTGCTTGTGGTGTACATTGTTCTTCAAAGTAACATCATCTAGAAATACCAGAGTTTTCCAGCAGTTGGCACTAAAAATAAAATCTAGAATGTTATGTTTTCCTTATTAAACAGTGCAGGCACCATGAGGGTGTGGACATGCACCTCCATTTTACTACCTGATTGGTGAGAAGCAGACGGAGGATTTCTATTTACAGCAAAAACACACATTTAAATATATTCCGTAATATATTGATAATGATAGTGCACAACCTTGTCATCTCTGATCTGATGTTTAACACCTGTACAATACTTACTTCAGCTAAGTATGAAACAATAATGGTAATGATCAATATGACAAGAATAGTGATTCTCCAAGAAGTTGGTAGACACACAAGCTGTAAAAGAAACAGATTTGGAAATATTACCTTATTATTGTTAACAAAGGTGACAAGGAACAAGTAAACAATAGGAAAACCCCATACACATGAAATGGCAGAAGTAGTTAAAATCTCTGCAATGAGGACAGAGACAGCAATGTAAACACTTTTTTGTAGCCTACGAAAAGGTTAGGACTTCTGACAGGTTTTCATTACTGCCTGTGCTCTCCTGTCTGGAAGATCCCTATTCACCACATTTCTTGTTCCAGTGTCAGAAGCATAAATATGAAAGTCAATCTGACCAATTGACTCACACACAGCAACACAACTTGACAGAGATTCTTAGCATTTCTATCTCTACTCAAAACAAACACATTGCGGGACAAAAGATACAGAGACTATTGGGCTTGTTGACATCTACAGAAGTATTTGTACACTGGCAAACAGTGACCAATGGCACCAACGGCACCAACGGCATTCAGAATAATGTTTTCTTCAATCAAAGATTCCTCTACTCACTTCTTGTGCCAGTCTCTATATGTAGCTATCCAAACCAACATATTTTCAGCAATGTCTGAGCTGGTGTCTTTTTCCTGTAGAGAAGCCTTGTAGGTGTTACACAGGGACAAGGTAAGGTCATTTTGACCTCAACCAAGAATCAGCTTCTTGCTCCCCTATTTCTCAGTGGCTCAGATAGATAATCATCCAAGTGTATGGTCTCATGGATCATGTTTAACCCATTGCTGTTAAGACACACTCTCCAGATCCATGAGTGCTTTTTGGACCTTTTGGCATCAGGCATTTGTTTCTGAGATTAGCAAAGCACACTCTATAAGTTTTACCAGGTGGATGCTCAAACCTCATCTGATGCTGGTTTGGGCATAAGGTCCTTCAGAAGGCTTTTTGAGCCACAGGCAGCCCACCAGTTGTGATTTTTTTTTGTATTAGTTTGTTGTTGTTTCCCACCCTTCAGTTGGATGGATTTGGACATCCCAATGGTCTCTCAATTCTGTGTCCCTCAATGAATGAGAAAGACAATTGGATTTTTGATCCTACCGTAATATCCATTTGTTGGAGTTCATTGAGAGACACAGGTCCCACCCCTCTGTGTCTATGATTATGCTCTTGGTTTTGCTTTAATACAAAACTGAGGCATGCAGGGAGTAAGGTGGGTTATACCAGGCTGGTCATTGTTTTTTAGTTTGCCTGAGTCCAAATTCTCCTGCAGACAGCAGTAAAACCCAATAGCCTCTGAATCGTGCGTGCCTCAATAAACTCTATGGATTACATGGTAAGTACAAAACTCACATTTATGTGTCTGTAGTTGGGTTCCAAAGTGTAATTTAGGACAAAACACTTATTTTAATTTTGACTTGGAAACATTGTCAACAGGAGAGGAAGAAATTAGAAATCTCTTCTGCAAAAGTTTAAAAAAAATAGTTTTTCTTAATGATTGGTGGGGAAGCATCTTATGCAGCAGAGCGCTAATACTTAACAGGAGAAAACCTCACTGATCATGATGGTACTTTGTAAGCACCAGCAAGAAGAAAGTCTGTTTAATACATACACTCTAAACTACAGAAATCAACATTGCAAAAGCTGGAATTCCCGTCTAAAAAGCTTGCAAAACAAATTGGTTCACTTACCTCCATCACTTGATATATACTGTGGATGTCAGCAAATAAAAGGTAGATGCAGACTCCAAGCTGGACTATCAGTACGGCAGTAAATGCATCTGTGGTGAATTAAGTTTATATCATATTTACACTGTCAGCATAACCAGCAAAGCCAAGGGTTGGACATACAAGCAGCATTTGATGACTGACCACATCATACCCCTGAATGACCCTCAAGTATATTCTGTATCTGTCACACATTTGCACATACTGACTCTTTAAGGTTATCTCTACTCATTTCAACAGACAAAAATTTTAAGCCCACCCAGCCCCAACGAATACCAACAGCCAGGCCCGGATTTCCCACAAGGCCACCGAGGCACGGCCTCGGGGCAGCAGGGCGCAGAGGGGCGGGAGCGGTGTGGGGTCCTCCAACGCCCGGAACATACAGTTCCGGGCGCGGGGCGGGTAAGTTGCCTTGTGGGGAATCCGCTCGTACATTTACAGGTGATCGCG